CTGTGGTTAGAATTTTCTGACCTTTAAACTTTGTTGCCTTGTTTTGTCAGCTCTTTGGGAATTTCATCCTGCCACCTTCTCACCATAAGTCTAAAGCGCCCCCTGTACTTGAGTTGTTGCTTGGCTCAGGTCACAGTAACAGGATTATAAAAAATCTGTTGAAAGAAAAAAAGGCAGAAACTGGCACATCTTAGAGGCTGAGGCCATTGCTGACTTGTTGAGATCTTGAGCTAATCTCTTCTGTGAGTTTCAGTTTCCTCACTTACAAAGTAAGGAGAAATAGATGATGATCTTGAAGATCCTTTTCTGTGATCTGAGCATGGGAAACAACTGGTGGCCATATTGAAAATTCCTCATACTAGAGATTTTTAACCAGGAATAAGAGAAAACTGCTAATTTGCTTAAGACTAAACTATATTTATTCAGCCACACCAATTCCCACCCACTGGAAGGACTAAGTGAGTCACTTGCAATGGAACCAAACATTAATTTTGAGAACCCAATTAAAAATTTGCTTCAAGTACTTAGGATCAAATGGTTGATCCTGACATTTTCTATTCTAGTTGTGGCAGCTTGCTTCATTTGGTTTTGATTGGAAACAGTCTTTTGTATTAGAAGCAGGACTATATGAGAACACAAAAAGCCAAAGGATTATATTTGTAGTTTTTAGGTACCATTATTTTTCTTGACCTCTCTGGGACTTATTCCAGACTTGGAAATATTGACTTTATTCTCAAAGCCTTTTTCAATATAAAAATGCCTCCCAAAATGATGGGTAGAAATAGAGGGTGCCAAGTACTTTCATTCTTTTTATCCAGACTTAATCTTGCTTCAGTGTCTCCCCATGTTCATGAGCACCTATATGATGTAAAAAAGAGGGTAGAAAACAATGGGAAGAAAGTTTTTTATTAGCTTTCCTAGGGATTCCATCGCCAATGTATCCTTTCTCAGTCCAGGTTGCCTACTTCAGAGTTGCCTACTTCAGAGTCCTGCAAATGTCAAAAATAGTCACTGAAGGACAGAGGTAGTCATTAACTTCATGTTTAAGTACACACATATTTAAAGATAGTTTCAGATGCTTTGGATATAAAAATACCAAAGTAAGTTTATCAAGGCATCTGCTGTTATGGAACTTTTATTTTTTTAAAGATATATTTTATTGATTTTTTTACAGAGAGGAAGGGAGAGGGATAGAGAGCTAGAAACATTGATGAGAGAGGAACATCGACCAGCTGCCTCCTGCACACCCCAGACTGGGGATGTGCCCGCAACCAATATACATGCCCTTGACCGGAATCGAACCTGGGACCTTTCAGTCCACAGGCCGACGCTCTATCCACTGAGCCAAACCGGTTTCGGCTGTTGTGGAACTTTAATGTGAAGGCTAGGGTAGCTTAAACACTGAGGAGCCTGTAGGAAATGTAGAATGTCCAGAATTTCTGGATCAAATCTGCATTTTAGCAAGGTCTGCAGATTATTCATAGGTGCAGAAACATCCTTAGGAGCAATGGGCTAGAGTACAAAGTGGGATGTTCTATGAGAATTTGGGGTAATTAACACTAGCACTTTACACAAAATTGCCTTGTTGAATGTTTATAATTCCATGAAGTTGGTACTGTTATCCTCATTTGACAGACAAAAGCCTTAGAGTTGAAGTGTCTTGCCCAGCCAGTGAAAGCTAAGAAGAGGTGGAACCTAGTTTCCAATCTCTTCAGACTGGATGAATATCAGAGAAGTTGCAGGAAGTAAAATGTAAAGTTGCAGGTGGTAAAGTACCCAAAATGCCAAAGTTCTCAGTGTATTGTTTGGGAAAGTGAATAGTGGGAAATGAAGTTTGAAGTGTAGGTAAAAACCAGGTTCTGCAATTCCAACTCCAGCCCTATGTCCAGTATTGACATTTCCTCAAGTGAGGGAAGAGATGGAAAACTGGTACATATTATTTCTAAAAGTCAACCTAAAGAATCTTATAAAAGAAAAATTGCTCAGTCCCCTCTCTTTTCCACCTCTCCCCCCACATTAGACTAATGCCTTCTGGCTTTGTACTACAGATTCGGGACAATGCCTCCTCTTTCATAAAGCTGAGTCTAAAAGAAAGTATCTGCGGGAATAGATTATGACAAACTACATTTGGAGGTCTGAACCACTTTGAAGAAGGTAACCAGGATAGCCGTCACATTTAATCTGCCAACCTGTATTTGGTACGTTTGACTTAGAAAAAAGACAGGAGGCACAGGAAAGCTCTAGCCAAATATTTACAAAACCATAGCATCACAAGCCCTGGGGATAAGTGTTGAACATGACACGGTGAGTTTCCTACATCACGGAGATTAGTAAGGAAGATAGACACTAAATGAAATTCTAAAGATGGTTAAGTAAAAGTGCTGCAATAGAAGCTTTGACTGTGATGGGAACCAAAAAGGACAGGAAAAGCTTCTTTAAGGGAATGGTGTTAAAACAGAAATTCATAGAATTCATAGGAGTTAACCAGAGAGGATAATCCAATTTTGTGCATATGTTTTGTGGTGCAACAGCTTGGTCTGATAGTGACATTTGCAAGTCTAATGGAAAGAAAAAGTGGGAAAGGGAAAGGAGAATGCTGAATAGGTAAGCAGGAACCAGGTACATTAATGCCTTATATATAACTCATGTTCTAGATTTCGGATTTTGTTTGAAGGTCAACCTGTTGAAGGCTCAAAAGTAAACCTTGCATATGTCATAAGTCGCCATGTGTAAATAAAGTCCTAATAGGGCATAGGCATGATGTTGAAGACTACTTAATAGACACACCATGTGATGGCTGGCTGACTAGTTGAATGGATGACACCAAAGGTGGGCTGAGATATCTTCCATAGTAATAAATTCTTAGTCATTGGAGTTGTTCAGGTATCCAAGTGGGAAATCAAACAAATGGGTTTTTTTGGCCTAGATTCTTTGAGACATCATATATTATTGAGATTTACAATACCTTGTATTTGATCATAAATATCACTACAAATAATATTTGCCCTTATCTGTATGTATAGCATGATACTTTTACACAAATTACCAAATTCTCATTACAGCTCCACAAGGTAGGCATAGCTCCCACTTTACAAATGAAGAATTGAGTCCCAGATTAATAACTTTCCCAAGGTAACAAGGTTAGTGAATAGTTGAACCCAGATCCATTATACACTCAAAGACCTGTCCTCATAACAGCTAACAGTAGAAAGCTTCTGTACAAACTAGTACACAAATAAGGTAATTAATAGGCATTTGATGAATGAACAATTTAGTCTGGAATAGCTATCTGGAATTCTTCTAGGGGGACTTTGCATTTACTTAAAAATATTTTAATGTGTACTATGTGCCAAGGGATAAAGTAGTCAATAAAATGGACACGGTCCTTGTCTTTCTTGAGTGTACAATATGAGGAAAACTGGTATTACACCAAAAATTACACAAATCACTGTAATTGTGTTAAGTGCTTTGAAAGTAAAGTATTGAGTGCATTGTAACGGGGATCTAATTGAGTGTGGGAGTTATATTATTAAGCTGTCACATCCCTATCTTTCTCCAAAAAGTGTCTGATTATCATTCTTGAGTGGTTTCTGACCTGTTTAACCTGTTATAGTCAAATCCCAAACCTTTTCTGAGTAACTTTAGCCCTTACTAAAAAGGATTCTGGCTACAGTCAATTGCTAGCAGTCTATGGGTTTAACACCCATAGCAGTCACTCCTAAATTATTTCACCCCGACACAAGTACTATATTTCCAACAGCATTGTAGACTCCGTTTCCTGGATGTGTCTCTGACACCTCAAGCAACTTACCATACCTCCTCTTCCTATAAGAACAAAACAGTTATTCCTAAGTTGGCCAGACATCCCGATTTTCAACAATTTGTCCCGTGTCCCTTGTTTTTTAAAAATACCTATTTTTTTAAAGATAGTCCCGCCAAAAGCGGGACACCTGGTCACCTTAGTTATTCCTTCCCCACCCTTCCCTGTTCCTGTTGTTTCAGTCAACCACAATGAACAACTTGAAGTAGCAGTAGGCAGTATTTTCTAAAAATCATTGGTCATAACTGATCCTTTTTTCCCTAATTTTGCCCCTCCCCACTTGGTGCAAACTCTCTTGTATTCTGCTGTGTAAGCTTTTGGGGAACAGATTATACATTTTATATTTTCATATCGCTTTGCTGAAAAGATAATTACTAGTCAGTAAATAACTAGTAACCACGCCAGATAGTTTATAATGCAACGTGCTGTTTACAAAAGTGTTTAGCATATACCATTTTTTCCCCTAATATAAATTGTTGAGGTGGAATGACCTTCTGTAAAAAGATAAGCAAAATGAGAATCAAATGTGAAAAGTCTTCCTAAAGATCACAATTTCTTAATTACAACACACAAAAAAAAGGGGATGCTATAAAATGACCCAGTTATGATCTCTCTCCACATTTACCAGGTAAACTATTCACTCTTTAGTAAGGCTCTCTCTAAATTCTATCTTCTCAAATCTCCACATAGCCTCAATTCTCAAATTTTTCATGTGAAACTATTGTTCTGCATTCAATGGATTGTTGGGAATTATTCACTGTCCAAGAAGGTAACCACTAGCCACACATAGTTACTTAAATTTAATGACAATTAAATAAAATGTAAAATTCCGTTCCTTTGCCACAGTATACACATTTCAAGTGCCTAGAAGCTACCATATTGGACAACATATATTTCCATCTTTGTAGAAAGTTCTTTTGGACAGTGCTTGGACAGCCAGGACTTGTCAAGATCAGAGAAAACAATATGACCAAACTGAAAACCCTGGCCAGTCAGAACCTGGTTGGTTTTGAGGGAGTAGACTCACTGGGTGAGTGAGAAGGTGGCTCTTGGGACGATGACATCACAAAGCACAGCTCACAGTGGCTCTGGAACACAGGCTCCCAGGTCACTTTCCTTAACTCTTATCTAGGGTTCTGGAGCCTCTGAACATGTAGCTCCTGAAGCTGCTCTTATTAAAATGCCAACACATTCACCTTCATCTTCTATCTGGGACACCATAGATTATGCCTCTCTCAGCTCAATATGGAATTGGCTACAAGCAACTTTTCTGGGACAGACTAGTGTGACTCAGCAAACAAATGTGGGGCTACTAGATAATCTTGCTCCAGCTCTGCAAGTTGCCCTCGGGATTTTCTTTCTTATTTTCTTGGCAGTAGGACTATATGCCTTATGGAAACGAAGTGTTCGGTCAATTCAGGTTATACTCTTTTGTTACAGAGAAATTTAAATAGTTTTACATTGAAAGCTGATTAATTCTCTCCCCATATTGCTACCATTCTGTTTTAAGACCATGCAGATGAGCAAGGGTGAACTCGTCTCTGAAGGTGTTTTAGTTGGTTGAAACTCAAGTATCCTTAAAAACTTTCCCCAATTAGATTTTGAGCATAAAAATACTTTCTCACAATTGTCTTTGGCTTGTCTTATAGTAAAATAGATCAAACAAGTTCACAACCTGAAAAAAGCAGCCTTACCCCTAAATTTATTTATTTATAAATGTTTTTATTGATTTCAGAGAGGAAGGGAGAAGGAGAGAGAGAAACATCCATGATGAGAGAAAATCATTGATCGGCTGCCCCCTGCATGACCGCTACTGAGGACTGAGCCCACAGTCCATGTGCAATGACCTGGAATCGAACTGTTACCACCTGGTTCATGAGTAGATGCTCAAACACTGAGCAACACTGGCTGGGCACTCCCAAATTTATTTGATCACCGATTCATATTTGAGTGTCTACTATGTGCCAATTGCCATTCGGGGTACCTCTTCTAGAATTGGCACCGCGAGTATGACTGGGATCTTGGGTTCTTACTGTGCCATTGCTTTGTAACTGATGAGGCATGAAGAGCCAGTCATTTAGTCATCACAGTGTTTTCATTATTTCCTTGTTTTAACAAGATAGGATTCCACGAGTATACAGTGGCTCTTTTTGGTAAGAGTAGTATAACTGGCTGTGATTATGAGAAACATTATTTTATATATTTCTGTGTAATCATCAAAAATAATACCTATAATTACAATAGAGTCAAAATGCTTTGAGAGTCCTAACGATTTCTTGAAGTTATTTTCATATGGAAAACAAAAATGAGGTGAACTGAGGTTCAGTGGAAATGAAAGAAGATAGGGTTGTTTTTGCTTTTGTTTTTTTTAAAGACTTTCTTAAAGAGTGACTGGTTTACTTGGCAAATGCTAAAAGAAATTATTACCAGATCATTTTACAGCATGTCACTACTGTTGAGGAACCGTGGTCACATGCATTCTCTTAATCTTTCAAAACCCTGCATGGTAGGCAGGGCAGGGATTACAATCTCAATTTTATAGGTGAGGAAACTTGGTTATCACCTACCCAAGTTGACAGAGACCAGAAAAGCTGATATTTTAAAAATATATATTTTTTATTGATTTTTCACAGAGAGGAAGGGAGAGAGAGAGAGCTAGAAACGTCGATGAGAAAGAAACATCGACCAGTTGCCTCTTGCACACCCCCTACAGGGGATGTGCCCGCAACCAAGGCACATGCCCTTGACCGGAATCGAACCTGAGACCCTTCAGTCCGCTCTACCACTGAGCCAAACCGGTTTCGGCCAGAAAAGCTGAGATTTGAACCCAACTTTTAAGATTCACATTCAATTCTTTTCCAAAATCTCATTTCACATAAGCTGACTTAAATCCCTAGTATGGATATGTGTGTATACATATTCACATACACATTATAATCAGATAACACAAGGCATTAAAAAACCAAACTCTATCTGTAGTTCTGGGTTCTGCTCTTGTATGGTTAATGCTTAGTTCAATCAGAAAGACGAATTTACAGCCCTCCAAAAACCTCAGCCAAGAAAAAGCGATAGTATAACAGAATGATAAAGAGCAAGGGCACTGAAGTTGACTGCTGGGGCTTAAATCTTGGTCCCATCACTTGCTGTGTGTCCGAGAGCAATCACTTAGCCTCTAAGCCCATTTATCTATAATATAAGATGGGTTTGCTAGCCGTGCCTTCCTCAGGGTGGTTGTGAGGATTGAAGGAGTTACTACTGTAAGTATAAAGCTTAGCACACAAATACCCAATAAGCAAGTAGTGCTTGTATTATAAGGAGAAAAAATTGGTGTTGTTTTTTTTTTTTCTTATTCTGGCAGGAATCTGTTTTGTTCATTAAAGGTTTTTTTTGCCAGGACCAGGAAATCCAGTTTTTTAGACCACTGTGTCCTAAATATACATGTAAGTCAGAATTCCTCGAGTCCAGTACTGGCTCTACTATTTCCAAGTATATGACCTTGGATAATGACAGGGTCCAAAATGGAAGGTAATAAAATAGCTATTTAGTTGTGTGTGTGTGTTTTTTTTTTGTTTGTTTTTTGTTTGTTTGTTTTACATAATTAGGTCCTTGCAAAGAGCCTTGCATGTGGCAAACTTTTGGCAAAGGACATCTATTATTATAATCATCCCTGACCTGCCTACTACTCCATTTTGTGGTGAACATCAAAAGATGAAATAGGGGCAAAGATGTTTTGTTAAACAAGGCTAGGAAAAGGAATAAGGGATTATTGTTACTGCTCATTTTTTGTTTTGTTTTGCATCTATAGTAAACTGGCATTTCACTTGAATAAACAAGTAACGTTCAATTTCTGTTGTTTTATTTTAGAGTCTGTTGTTGTTTATAATCACACTCTACAAACTTTACCAGAAGGGCTCAGATTTTTTGCAGGCTTTGCTGCTCAACCCAGAAGGGGTTAGTCTCCCAGTTCAAGACAAAAATATCCTCCTGTCCTTGGGTCTGCAAGAGAAAATATTGAAACAACTTCAGATGGTGGAAAGCAAAGTGAAGAACCTGGAGGGGATGATCATTTCTCAAAAACCTGCCACGAAGAGGGATTGCTCCTCCGAGCCCTACTGCAGCTGCTCCGACTGCCAGAGTCCCTTGCCCACATCAGGGTTTACTTCTACATCTGAAATCTGATGGACTCCAATCTTTCCCAGAAAAGCACCTTTCCCTTATGTGTGCAGTGGTGTGCCAATAAAGGTAGAGAACTGTATTGAAATTACCCTGGCTCTCTATTCGGTAGAGTCCAGCTTTTACTTGTGTGTTGGGGTAATATTGGGTAGGGTGGTGGTTTAGAATGTCTCTGGGATTGTGGTGCCCACTCAGCAGGCTGGAGACCCGAATCTAGGGAGTGAGAAAAGAAGGGAGAGTGGTCATGGATAGGGCCTTCCACTCCACACCAAAGAGGTTGGGTTGGATATAATAAACAGCAAGAATGTGCCATTGAACGGCGATGCTGTGGACTGTCCTGTAGAAGTAGGCTGGCCCTTGTGCTGGTCTTGGGTATAAATCAACTATTTGGCCCAGGACTCTCCCAGTATTAATTACTCAGGAGTGGCCAAGGGTGAGGGTAGACATAAAGGAGAGTATTTAACTTTACCCAACTTTTTTATAAGTCTTTATTGTTCATATTATTACAAAAGTTCCTCATTATTTTCCCCCTCCACCAGGTTCCCACCCCCCCCTCCGCCCTTTCCCCACCCCCCATTGTCCTCATCCATAGGTGCACAGTTTATGTTCAGTCTCTTCCCACACCCCCCCACTCCTTTTTTCCCAAAGAATTGTCAGTCCACTCCCCTTCCATACCTCTGATTCTATTACATTTAACAGTTAATGTTGTTCATCAGGTTTTTAATTCCCTTGGTTTTTAGATTCACTTGTTGATAGTTACATATTTGTTGTTCATAATTTTTATCTTTATTTTCTTCCTCTTCCTAAAGAATCCCCTTCAGCAATTCATATAATTATGGTTTGGTGGTGATGAACTCCTTTAGCTTTTTTATTTTTTTATTAGTGAAGCTCTTGATCTGGCCTTCGATTCTGAGTGATAGCTTTGCTGGGTAGATTATTTTTGGCTGTAGGTTCTTATCATTCATCACCTTGAATATTTCTTGCCATTCTCATCTGGCCTGCATGGTTTCTGTTGAAAAATCAGCTGACAATTGTATGGGTGCTCCTTTATAGGTAACTACCTGCTTTTCTCTTGCTGCTTTTAATATTCTCTCTTTGTCTTTTGCTCTTGGAATTTTAATTATGATTTGTCTTGGTGTGGTCCTCTTTGGGTTCCTTTTGTTTGGGCTTCTGTGCGCTTCCTGGACTTGTAAGTCTATTTCTTTCACCAGGTAGGGGAAGTTTTCTTTCACTATTTCTTTCAATATGTTTTTGGTATCTTGCTCTCTCTCATCTTCTGGGACCCCCATAATTCTGATGGTGGTTCTCTTGAAGTTATCCCAGAGGTTTCTTACACTATCTTCAACTTTCTGGATTCTCTTGTCTTCTGCTTCTGTGGAGGAGTGTCCTCTGGCTCTTTATGTTCCAAATCCTTGACTTGATTCTTGCGATCTTCCATTCTGTTTTTAGGACTCTGTATAATATTTTTTTATTTCAGACACTGTATTCTTTATTTCTAGTTGATCCCTTTTCATATCCTCAAGAGCACGTATCTCAGTTTCAGGCTCCTCCCCAGCCTAGGCCCTGGTTGGGCCTCATGCAGGGAAGCAACCAATTTATGTGTTTCTCTCACATCGATATTTCTGTCTTTCCTCTCTTTTATACTCTAAAAATCAATGGAAAATATCGATTAAAAAAAACAAGTGGCTACAATGCATGTAAATTCTGGCAAATTAGTATAAATAATGACAATTTAAGATAAAATTGTAAAATTACTTTTTATAATGTATCCAACAGAATCCACATAACAGCTGAATAACCACTATCATCCATTTAAAATCACACAAGTAAGCTCTTTAACATCTGTCAATTCTACATTTTCTTTTATCATTTCTAATTTACATTTATATTCCACTTTCCCATAAAATGTTATCCAAATGTAACTTTTTGTTAGTAAAACCTTTCATTGATCCTTGTTTGGGATAAAAATATGTACCTATTAGGAGTAAAATTTTTAAAATTTTTGTAATTATATGTGTCTATGTATTAGAATTCTTTGAATTGACCAGTTATTATAATCATTACAATTATTAAAAATCTGTGCAAAATTATGATTACACATTTAATAATAAACATAAAATGTAAAACACTACTATAAATGTATTTCTTAGTGATGGGTGGGGCTTCCCCACCAATTAACTCATGTCTGAATGACTATTACTAATTAATTTTTTTGTTTTGTAGATATAGTACTGAGAAATATTACTCCATAAATAGGAATGCTCATTTTCTAATAGGAATGTCAATTAATTCTTTGATTTCCTTCTCCGTTATATACCACAAATCAAATAATGTCCCTTCATTAGCTGACAATTCAATTAGGTCCACCACCAATTTTGTTGAAAGCAAAGAACTGAAAACAATTTGACTTGCAAAACAATTTATCCTGTCATTACAGTCCATCACTTTCTCAAGTTTCATTTAATTATATAACTACCCTCATTTAAAAGCATTTCGGAAAAGTTGGGAAACTCAAGATAGTGTTAATTTCCACACATTTTTAGCACTGCGATTTCACTGTAATTTAAATTTATTTTAGTTGCAGCTGCAGATTTCGCTCAATTCATTGCAAATAATTATGCACAGTAGCAACGCCACTCTGTCAATCCAATGAACCAAGTCAGATTTATCTTCCGTTGGGAAATATTTCACTTTTCAAGGCAAACAAATGCATTCCCAGGCGTCCCCGTGGCCACATTTCACTGCTGAATTCCAAGACGGACACGGCACTGTGCTTTGGGAGGAGCTTGTCCCTGAATCCAGTTAGGCCTCTTCACTTGGCTCCAGCGCACCCTCTCTCTTCGGCAAAAGGCCGCCTTGGACTCGCTTGAGGTGGAAGAGGCGAGGTTTTGAATGAAAAATCTCATCCCTCCGGCCCATTCTCTTACATACCTGAATTCAGAATCCCCCGATTCAGGCTACAATATGGCACTTACAGGCCTGGTCTCCCTGTTAACTTTCCCGTTAATCCTAAAGTGTCCCGGGATGAACATCCCACCATCCGAATAGCATTAGTTAGAGGAATGGCCTCTAGAGCCCGAGACGTCGGCTCCTCCCTCCTCCTTCCCAGTAACTCCGGTCGGGAGTGGCGGTCCACCCTGCGGTAGTGCCCGCCCGGTGCCCCCTTCCGGTGGGCCCGTCCCGACCGGGAATACGGCTCAGGTCGCAGCCCAGCAGGGCCAGCCCCGAAGCGAAGAGAGGCCATTGCAGATCTGGAAGCTAGAAAGCAGCGCCAGAGGGAAGCCGGGAGCCTCGGCAGGCCCTCGGCGAGGAGCGAGAGGGAAACCATGCTGGTGTGCAGCTCAGCATGACCAGGTCGCGGCCGGAACTGGGCTTGGCGGAGGCCGGAACGCGGCGTCAGGCTTTCAGTTCCCCGGAAGTGAGGGAGGCGGGAAGGGTCCGTTCCGGCAGAGACGAGGCGGGCCGGAGAGGCGTGGGCAGCGGGAAGAGTATCTGTGTGACACCGCCGGCTGCGCTCAGGGCGTGGGATGGGCGCGGACGCCGGTGCAGGGGCGCTCGGAAGGGACGGAAATAGCTGTGACACCAGCGGGCCGCTGTGAGGGGACCGCGTCGGTGTGGCACCGGGGGCACGCTTTACGGAGCCGACGGAACCGGGTGGCCGCGGGGATGTGGGCGTCGCTGGACCCGTTGTGGGAGATGCCGGCCGAGAAGCGTATCTTCGGGGCCGTGCTGCTGTTCTCTTGGACCGTGTACTTCTGGGAGACCTTCCTGGCGCTGCGGCAGGTGAGCCCAGCCCGAGCCCAGCTGATCCCGACACCCGGCCAGCCCCAGGCCAGCCCTGGTCTCCACCCCAAGTCCCCAAATGAATGCTGCACCCAGCACCCAGCCTCGACCCTCTCGAGTCCCCGCAGAGCCCCCTAATTTGTCCCGATGGTGGGATTGGCCTTGAGAGGACCTGGTGCCTTGGGGACGTTTTCCGCAACGTGATCGTGGGACTCAGGCGGGTAGGGCCTGGTGGAAGGGAAAGCAGCCTGCCGCCTGGTCAGGTTTGGCTCTTATGCCTGCCCCACAGCTTCCTTAAGGTCCCCGGGCTTATCTTTGGCAGCGACCGATAGGCCTTCAAAAGGAAGATTTTAGAATCACTAACATTTTAGAAGCACAACCTTCCTCGTGACGTTTTACAGTCTTGCTTAACCTTAGGATCGGGAAACCATTTTCTGAAAATAAATCCCTCCGAACTCTTTTTCCTTAAAAAAAAAAAAAAAAAAAAAATTCAGAGTCTTGTCCGCCTAGAGAAGATAATTTGCATAAAGGAAGCAAGCACACGATATGTAGTATCTAAATTGGGAGTGGGTTTGAACATCTCTCTGTCTTAAATAATAAGCCTATTTCAGTAACTACTTTTCTATAGTGTCTTCTTTACTCAGTTATGCTTTCAGGTAGTGCCTTTTAATGAGGGTTTAGTAAGAGGCATAAAACCATTGTAGAAGATACTATCCATTATATTATTTGATATCTGTTCCTTGTATTATGTCCCATGGGCTGAAAGTATCTTTTAGCATTTGGTTTAAGAAGAAAATTTGACTTTTTTGAAGATCTGATATGTTTGTGTCTGTTATTCCTCAAATTTCCCTTAATTTAGCTGCTTGGACAAAATTTAATTTCTCGCCACAATATCTGTTAATACTCATGGTTAGCATATTTAGTTCCTTGTATGCTAACCAGGAGTATTAACAGGTATTGTGGCTAGTAATTTGTTTGCATGAATTTCTTTCCTGTATTATAGGATATGTTTATATCTGAAATGGATGGTATCATTTGTGGTTTATATATGCAAGCTGAAGTATGATAACAACCCTGATTTTAATCTTACATAGTCAGCTAGCTTCAGATTCTCTTGTTATTCTTTTACTTTTCTGCATCAGTTGCTTTAACAGACAATGTGTTTGATCAAATACATTATTTGTGTATGTATAAAGCAAATTCAACAGGCTTATGTGACAAATTAACACTATAAACCATTCAATGTTTGATCATGAATGACTATTGTAATAAATAATGAGTTGGTTTGACTGTTTTACTAAAGTGTTTTCTTCAAAATATTTCAGAGACGGATATATAAAACAACAACTCATGTACCAATGGAGTTAGGACAGATCATAGATTCAGAAACGTTTGAGAAATCTCGACTGTATCAGCTGGATAAAAGTACCTTCAGCTTTTGGTCAGGACTCTATTCAGAGATCGAAGGCACTGTGAGTAATTTACTTCTTGAAGAGACAATCTATCAAATTGTTTAATACTTTTTAACAAATATATTTTTATTGATTTCAGAGAAGAAGAAAGAGGGAAGGGGAAAGAGAGGGAGAGGGAGAGGGAGGGAGAAATATCAATGATGAGAGTGAATCATGGATCGGCTGCCTCCTGCACATCCCACACTGGGGATCAAACCCACAACCTGGGCATGTGCTCTGATGGGGAATCGAATGGTGACCTCCTGGTTCATAGGTTGTCGTTCAACCACTGAGCCATGCTTGCTGGGCTATTTAATACTTTGTAATGTTTGTTTTCCTTTATAAATATATATATATATATATATATATATACATCTACAAATCTCAGAATGCTTTTCTTACCTTTGATAATGATAGAATAGGTCTGAAGCAAAAGAGGCAGGAATGTAGCTGTTATGATTTCAGATATATGTAGAACCTAATGAACAAAATAAACTAATAAACAAAATAGAAACAGACTCATAGGTACTTGTAGAGAACAGACTGACAGCTGTCAGAGGGGAAGGGGTTTGTGGTGCTGGGTAGTAGCTAGCTTTATTGTTACAGTTGGTGACATGGGGGTGGTTCAGTTGGCTCTAGGAGATGGTAGAGGCAGGGAGAGTACAAACAGAATGAGAGATCTGTCATCTGCTGTGGCTCAAGCTAGAAGCAGTATGATGGGCGAAAGGTGGGAACAGTAATAGTCATTGTAGTAGCTGTAGGGGTAGTGATTTTTCACTTCGTATACTATTTTTATATTTATTGCTTTGTTTGATGTTTACAACAGTCTCTGTGGTAGAAAGTATAGGCATTATTCCCTTTTTATGGCTGAGAAAGTGAAGGCTCGGAGAAATTAAATGGCTTGCCTCTTTAATGACTAGGTGTCACTAATAAATAGGAAAATGGGTTTCAAACTCTGCTCTTCTGAGTCTTTAAAACTACATTGAAGAAACCATTCTCGAAACTAGGGACTGCAGCATGAATGTGCTATTTCTCTTTGGGGAATTAGCAGCTACATTTGCCATTAGATATGTAGCATTTTGTGTTACTTTGAAATCCTGTTCTGTTTGAAAACAAGTTCATTAATTCCTGTTTTGTATTGATTCAAATCAATAGGCTTGATCACAGAGAACAAGTACAAAGATTAACTTAAACTTTTTTTTTAATATATTTTATTGATTTTGTACAGAGAGGAAGGGAGAGAGATACAGAGTTAGAAACATCGATGAGAGACAGTCATCGATCAGCTGCCTATTGCACACCCCGCACTGGGGACATGTCTGCAACCAAGGCACATGCCCTTGACTGGAATCGAATCCAGGACCTTTCAGTCCCCAAGCCGACGCTCTATCCATTGAGCCAAACTGGTTTCAGCTAACTTAAACTTTTTTCTTGCCTTAGTATTTTTTACCTGAGGGAACATAAGCAGAGGCCTTGTGTGCCCACAGATGCCACTATTGACACATACGTTGACAGCACCCAGAGAGAAAATGCCCAGCCTCTCTGAGACAGGCTTTCCTAACTTCTCATAGAGATCAATAAAGAGCCCTCTTAGGAAATGGAATGGCTGAGGAGTATCATAGGGCTGAGTAGAAAAGTTCCAATTGTTGCTTCTTTAATTTCTGCTTGTTTCTGGGTGATTTTTAGCCTCTTTGCGCCTCATTTTCCTCCTCTTTAAGATGAGAAGTAGGTAGATATTTAACCATGTCGCTCGTGGTTTATGGCAAGGACTAAGGAAGATAATGTAAGTGAAGCACTTAGTACAGTGCTTAACACAGCAGTTACTTAGTCATTGGATTTCTTGAGGCAAATTACTGAACCTCTCTGAATTTCAGTTGCCTCGTCTATAAAACAGAAATGACTATGCTCTTCCCCTGCCTGCTTTACAAGACTTACTTCAGTGAAATAATTATAAAAGCACTGGACTTATTGCTGAGATCCTCAGTTCTTTTTATAGGCTATCCCAGGAGCCTGCTCAGGGAGAGTACCAATATAGAGAAAGTTTATTGTTCACTGTACTTTGTTTTTCATTCCTCAGAGGATACTAAACAAGGTTGCAACAGCAGTACCCAAATGCATTCATAGATGCATTCAAAGTTCATATTAAAGCTACCCTTGGTACTTACTTAAAAGCTGGGCTTTTAATTTTAAGTGATTCAGCCCTTCACCAAAGACATTATAAATCTTTAATTCTGTATTATGTATTAGTATTGAGAATACGATGAAAGAAATTCATCCCAAGTTGATTAGTTCAACAAGTGAAGCATATATCATGCACTGATGCCAAAGCACGTCTTTTGGGAAAACAGGGTTTACACCTATGATTGAGTTAGTTATTGTAAAGTGGAAATAGCTGGACATAGAACTAAGGGAGCCTTTTAAAACAACTTATTAAAACAGTATTTTCCAAATTTGGGTGTACATCAGATTTAACTGAAGACTGCTGGGCCCCATTTCCAGTTTCTGATTCAGAAGTTCCGGTGTGGAGCCTGAGAATTTGCATTTCTAACATATTCCCAGGTAATGCTGCTATCCAGAGATCATATTTGAGATCACTGGTATTAAACTAACCCAATATACTAGTAAAAATCTAAAAGATGGATAGCACCCACTGTGAGTGAGATTGTGGAGAAACAGGAACACTCAATAATGCTGATGGGAGCATACTTTGGTATAAATACTTTAGAAAAGAAGCTGATAATACTGAATAAAGTTAAAATTCACTAAGGATGGATCTAAAAAAATGTAGAGTATAAAAGGCATGTTGTACCATATGATGTCATTTATATACCTTCTTAAAAAGCATGTATAAACCACGATATTATTTATGGATTTGTAGGTAAAAATGCAAAGTAGGTTGGGAGGATACCCATGATCTATATTAAAGGGCCTCAAACCCTCAAAGCACAAGGAACTGGTGGGATATTGTGCTTCTAGCCAAAAAGTGTGATTGATCATTGTATTCCTGAGACTCCACAGGAAGAAACAATAAATTGATTCTTCTTGACCAAATGAGTTTCACAAACTTGTATCTGTTGTGGGAAATACGTGTTTCTTCAGCATGTATTCTCAGATTTTAAGAGCTTCCTCATGCCAATGTCCAAATGATTTGGTGAATATTTGTGTTCACTTTATTTGCCAAAGACAAAGGATGTGCTGAGACAGGGGCCTCCTATGAAACCCTGACTCCTACCTCAGGACTCACCTTCTCCTTACCTGGAGAAGGCCCAGAGAGTCCATTCTGTCCCAATTTGATAAGTGGACAGAACAGGAATCAATACTAATACTTTGTCCTGGCTGAAGAGGTGATTTTTTTTTTTTTAGGAAAAGCCAGTTATGGAGCCATAAAACCTGGTTTAATCCATTTCTGTCATTCAGTAGTTGTGGGATTTTGGACAAGTTGCTTAGCCTTTCTAATCTTGTTTCCTGATTCAGAAAGCCTTTTATGGTCTTTTGGCAAGTTGTTTTTTTTTTCTTTTTCTTTAAACAGCTTTATTGAGATACTAGAGGCCCAATGCACGAAATTCGTGCAAGAGTAGGCTTTTGCAGCCTTGGTAGCTGCCTGGATCCCTCTCTCCCTTGTAGCCACGTCCGGAAAAGTGTCCAGAAGGACATCCGGTCTAATGAGCGTATTACACTTTTATTATTATTATTTTTTCCCAGTGATGAAAACAATGTATTAGCACGTAGGGAAAAAAAGCATAGACCAAAATACAACTATTCTACACACTACTGCAATTTCCTAATATACACATTCATTCACAAGTACTACATATTCTATTTATCCCAAATCCAAATTTCCAAAAAGATAAACCAGTAGGAATAGTTTTTCTCTCTAGAATAGTGTTCAATAAACAACATACCATTTATTGTAACAGTCCTGAAGTATTACAAGATGTTATAAATTCTGAATCAGGTTCTATTGTGTTCAAATGGCTCAATTCTTTGCAAATCATAATTCTTTAAGGTATGTTAAAAGTTAAAGTCATAATGCTTCCTCCATAATTATACTTGATACACATCACTTGAACTATACAAAAGGCAATGCCGGCATGGTTACGGGGACCTGAAGTCTGGTGAGGGGATCGGCCCCAGTTTAGCTAACGGGTGAGGAATCCACCACACCCTCCAGGACCTTCTACTGTGCCATTGCTCTCACTCCTCCAGGGTGTCTTGATGTTGAGTGAAAAAAAAGCTAGCACTTAAGCTTACATTACAATTATCTGACTTCTCCCTAGCACTCATGTTCTCGAGTTACAAAAACACACATACACAAACATTGAGAGCCTACTTGACAGTTAAAGCACTCCTCCCTCTCCAGTGTGGACTCTGATCTTTGGAAAGGTTTGACTTACTACATAAGGTTTTCCCACAATTATTACACCAATAGGGCTTTTCCCCAGAATGGATTCTATGATGTTTATTAAAATTGGAGCTGTGGTTGAAGGCTTTTCCACACTCCTTACACTTATACGGCTTTTCTCCAGTGTGGAGTCTCTGATGAGAACTAAGACCTGCGTGCTGACTAAAGCTCTTTCCACATTCATTACACTGATAAGGTTTCTCTCCAGTGTGTATTCCATAGTGTCGAGTGAGGCTGCCTTTACCCCTGAAATCTTTCCCACAATCTTTACACTGATATGGTGCCTCTTCAGTTACACTTTTATTATTATAGATAATTCACATATTACAAAATTCACCCATATAAAATGTATAGGCAAATACCTTTTAACTGTCTAAGTTTAGTATCTCAGTTGGTCTGTATTCATCTAAATGCATATTTTATCCTAAATAAGACAGGTCCTTTTTTCTCTATACCATGATGGTTTCTAGTACTGCTCAAATGTGAGCAAGGTATGCTTTGTTTTATAGCTTATTCTTCTCTTTGGAGGAATCCCTTATCTCTGGAGACTTTCCGGACGGTTCTGTGGCTATGCTGGCTTTGGACCAGAATATGAGGTATGTACATCCTTTTCTTAGCTTCCTTGGCTCTGAAATGATACCTTCCTTTGTGTGCACGTTTTGGAGGGGAATCACTCATTTAGTCTCAGACGCAGGGAGCTGAGTGAGTAATGTAATCTCTGGTTAGGCAGCTGCTTCTCGGGAACAGCTCTGCAATGAATGGGAAGGCATGTGTTTTGTTGAGCCCACACTAAGCGGGTACTCTGTGCCACACAACTTAGCAGAGACTTCAGACAAAGGCAGAGTGTGTGTCTCTTACAGTCTCCGTTGAGCTGCTTGGTTTGTCTGCCCACTCTTCCAGGAACTCCAGTTGAAGGCAAAGCCTTAACCATGAGACTGCCCACCTGTAAGGATGTTGAGACACTGCTTTCTGGCTTTCCCGTAGAAATTGCCCAGTCTGGCCGAAACCGGTTTAGCTCAATGGATAGAGCGTCAGCCTGCGGACTGAAAGGTCCCAGGTTCGATTCCGGTCAAGGGCATGTACCTTGGTTGCGGGCACATCCCCAGTAGGGGGTGTGCAAGAGGCAGCTGGTCGATGTTTCTCTCTCATGGATGTTTCTAACTCTCTATCCTTCTCTCTTCCTCTCTGTAAAAAATCAATAAAATATATTAAAAAAAAAAAAAAGAAAGAAAGAAAGAAAGAAAAAGAAATTGCCCAGTCTGTTCCCTCCCCCTTGATTCCTTTTTGAAATGATGGGTCTCTTCTACATATATAGGTACCTTGGGCTTTAATTCAGCTCATCTGATGTCCCTTTTCTAAAGCAGCCAAACTCCTTTAAGGTCCCTTCTTTTTAAATACATTTTTATTGATTTCAGGAAGAAAGGGAGAGGGAGAGAGAGAGCAACATTAGTGATGAGAGAGAATCACTGGTTGGCTGCCTCTTGCAGGGCTCCCACTGGGGATCAAGCCCACAACCCTGGCATGTGCCCTGAGCAGAATCCAGCCACGATCTCCCAGTTCATAGGTCAGCACTCAACCACTGAACCACACTGTCTGGGCTATTTTCTTTTCTTTATAAAGGCACTTATCACTATTGCAGTAATTTTATTTATTTTTTTTTTACTATTATTTTATTTTATTTTATTTATTTTATACAGAGAGGAAGGAAGAGAGAGTGTTAGAAACATCGATGAGAGAGAGTCATTGATCAGCTGCCTCTTGCACACCCCCTACTGGGGATATGCCCGCAACCAAGGTACATGCCCTTGACCGGAATCGAACCCGGGACCTTTCAGTCCCCAAGCCGACTCTACTACTGAGCCAAACCAGTTTCGGCACTTCCTGTAGTCTTCATTGCTATGTCACTAGTGCCTAGAGCAGTGCCAGTCACAGAGTAGGTACTCCGTAAATATTTGTTGAATGAATGAACACAGTCTATATACATATTATGAGATACTATTTTTGGATTTAACATGTGTTGGAGATCTCTTCCTGTCCATATATATAGATCTTTGTTGTGTGTGTGTGTGTGTTTTAATTCTAATCTTCCCCAGAGGATATACTTTTACTAATTTGAAAGAGAGAGAGAAACATTGATCGGTCACTTCCCACACTTGCCCCAAATGGAGATCAAACCTCTAAGCAGCAGAGCCACCCTCCAGGGTGATCTCTGTTCTCTGTAATGGCTGTGTAGTATTGGTTGTCCATTCTTTGCACAGTTCTGGTGTACACACATTTCATTTATACAGTTTAGTTAAATAATACCAGTACCTTAAAGCCATGGTTAAATTTCAGTTGCCATAGTAGATTATATGAGTAATCACATACAGTGCAAACTTCCTTGCTAGCTCTTTAATCCACCACTGGTCACTTGCAAATAACAGATTCTCATTGTCATCAGTCACTAATCACCTGCCTTTTCTTAAAGTGTGTCAGTGATGGATCATTGCACATCTGTTTTTCAATTATTCTGAGTACACATTGTATTGCCTCTTGACATTTAAAAAAAAATGGATAGAATATCCACCTGACATTTAAAAAAAAAAAATAGATAATTGAAAAGGAATTGGCCAACAAAGATAAAAGTGTAGCAAATAAATGAAAATGGTAACACAGAAGTGAAGTTCAATTCTGACATACGGGGAGTTATAGAAGAAATAGCTGGCCTGGGGATGCTGCCCCCGCTATCAATAGGCAGACTTAGATCTGCAGCCAGAGGAACTTAGTGAAGTGACCTTATTGGCATAAATGAGGAAAGTGGCTTTGACGGAAAGGATGATGTCCCAGAGTTGGTGTTACTGGCAAAAAACTGCCATGTTAAAAACTGCCTCAATGGTATTTTCTGACATTGAAAGCTCAAAGAGTAAAATGTTAAAATGTTCGAAGCTGATAAAATTTTGAGAGGAGCATAACAATTTACCAAGACAGAGAAAAGGTGCCATTTCCACACTGTAAGTTACACAAGACAGCGAGCATTGTTCAAACTACTCTTACTTTTTTAAAAAAAATATATTTTATTGACTTTTTACAGAGAGAAAGAGAGGGATAGAGAATTAGAAACATCGATGAGAGAGATCATAGACCACTGCCTCCTGCACATCCCCTACTGGGGATGTGCCCGCAACCAATGTACATGCCCTTGACCGGAATCAAACCTGGGACCTTTCAGTCCACAGACTTGACGCTCTATCCACTGAGCCAAACCGGTTTCGGCATACTCTTACATTTTTTTTACAAACACTAATTCTTTTTTTAAAATATGGTTTTATTGATTTTTTTTTAACAGAGAAGGATAAAGAGATAGAAACATGATCAGCTGCCTCCTACACACCCCCTGCAGAAGATCAAGCCCACAACGCGGGCATGTGCCCTCACCTGCAATCAAACCAGGGACCTCTTGGTTCATAGGTTGCCGCTCAGCCACTGAGCCACTCTGGTAGGCAAACGCTAATTAATTCTTAATGTTTCTAATGGTTTCAGTTATAGTGTACTAGGCCAGCCATTGAGTCTCAGTAGTTAAGCATTTACCTATGAATCAGGAGACCATGGTTCCATTCCAGATCTGGCCACATGCCTGAGTTTGGACTTGATCCCCAGTAGGGGGCATAAGGAAGCAGCCAATCAGTGATTCTCATCATTAATGTTTCTATCTCCTCTCTCCCTTCCTCTCTGAATAAAAAAAATATATTTTAAATAAATAGTATACTAAATAAATATTAGTTTGATTATTTTTTCATATCCTTACATATTTAGAATTGACAGTAGGAGATAGCCAAAAATTGTAAAGCTCACAAAAAAAATCATCTTTTTTATATTGATTATTAAGATGAGTTGATAAACTAGAGAGAATGGGGGATGTTTCAGAAGATTATAGACAAGCAAATGTCTTGATTTACAAATATTTTTTTTTTAAATTCTTTATTGTTGAAGGTTTTACATATGTCTCCTTTTCCCCCATTGACATCTTCCTGCCTGCTCCCGCCCCCACCCCCAGCAAATGCCCCCACGTCCCTATTGTCTGTGTCTGTGTCCATTGGTCATGCTTGTATGTATAGATACAAGTCCTTTGGTTGATCTCTTATCTCACACCCCTTCTTTCCCCTGCCTTCCCTCTAAGGTTTGATGGTCTGTTCAATGCTTCTGTATCTCTGACTCTATTTTTGTTCATCAGTTTATGTTGTTCATTCTATTCCACAAATGAGTGAGATCATGTGATATTTATCTTTCTCCGACTGGCTTATTTCACTTAGCATAATGCTGTTGCAAATGGTAAGAGATCTTTTTTTTTTTTTTTACAGCAGCGAAGTATTCCATTGTGTAGATGTACCTCAGTTTTCTAATCCACTCATCTGCTGACAGGCACTCAGGCTGTTTCCAAATCTTAGCTATTGTAAATTGTGCTGCTATGAACATAGGGGTGCATATGTCCTTTCTGATTGGTGTTTCTGAGTTCTTGGACTATATTTCTAGCAGTGGGATTACTAGGTCAAATGGGAGTTCCATTTTTAATTTTTTGAGGAAACTCCATACTTTTTTCCACAGTGGCTGCACCAGCCTGCATTCCCACCAGCAGTGCACAAGGATTCCTTTTTCTCCACATTCTCGCCAATATTTGTTGTATGTTGATTTATTGATGATAGCATTCTGACAATCATTGTCGTTTTGATTTGCATCTCTCGGATGATTAGTGACTTTGAGCATGTTTTTATATGTCTCTTGGCCTTCTGTGCGTCCACTTTCTAAAAGTGTCTATTTAGGTTCTTTGCCTATTTTTTTAATTGGATTGTTTATCTTTCTTTTGTTAAGCTGTATGAGTTCCTTATAAACTTTGCATATTAAACCCTTATCGAATGTAACATTGGCAAATATGTTCTCCCATACGGTGGGCTCTCTTGTTTTGTTGATGGTTTCTTTTACAGTGCAGAAGCTCTTTATTTTGATGCAGTCCCATTTGTTTATTTTCTCCTTAGTTTCCATTGTCCTGGGAGATGTGTCGGTAAAGATATGGCTATGACATATGTAAGGCATTTTGCTGCCTATGGGATTTCCAAATCTTTTAACTGTTATATGCCTTTAGTTAACTTGCATACAGTGCCTATGTAGTAAAAGAGGACTTTTTTTTTTTTTTTGCCTCCTTCTCTAAGAAGTAAACTTTGAGGGTATAGATGATTTTTAGAGCTTGTATTAGCCATAGAATCAAGCACATTGCTTGAGATCTAGTAGGTACTCAGCAATTGCTTATCAATTTGTTCACTAAGAATTCATTTTTTTAAGAGTGAATTAATATTACACTATAAAAACTGCTGTGTTTTTGTTTTTGTTTTCCTTCTTGTGTTTTAGATCACTCAGTCTTTGGTGTTTCTGCTGATGGCTACACTTTTCAGCGCATTGACTGGTTTGCCCTGGAGTCTTTATAATACTTTTGTGATAGAAGAAAAACATGGTTTCAATCAACAGGTATAATAGAAAATGCAAGTGTTCTCCCTTAAATGTGAAGACCTTTTGCGTTCATAATTTACTGTTGTAGAACATGAAGTAATTGAGGAAAAAAGGGAACTGCATGTGGTAAAGATAGTAGTTTAAAGTCTTGCCAAAACTCTTTTAGCACTAATGTCTAGTGCTTTTCAGCTGACATTTAAATGAGTTTATTTTAAACTGTAGAATGCAAGACATTTAGTTATTGTCTTGCGTTATCTAGTGTCATGTAATATAGTCTCACTGCCTTTTAATTTTTAAATTTACTTTCATAATGTGTTCTTTATATTCATTAATTAGTTATTTAATAGCAGTTTCTCAGTTTCTTGTGATGATGTTTTCTTTTTTCAGACTTTGGGGTTCTTCATGAAAGATGCAATCAAAAAATTTGTTGTGACTCAGTGCATTTTATTGCCTGTGTCTTCACTTCTACTTTACATTATTAAAATTGGGGGTGACTATTTTTTTATTTACGCCTGGCTGTTCACATTAGTTGTTTCACTGGTGAGTAAAATCTTTGTTTCATGTTTTTTACAAAGTTCCTTGATGGGATAATTATGGTATAGTCTTCATTAGCATGTAAACAGTTCTTAAGCAGATAAAATATACATAAGTGATCATAAATTCCCCTATTGGTTTCTGCTTTTGATTATAAAAATAGGAGAATTGACTGACCAATTTTCTTCTCCTTATGTTGACTTTTACAAATCTTAGAAGCTAGTTGTTTCTTTTAATGATCCAGTTGTCAGGCAATTTTGGGCTATGCATTTATGAGTTGCCACCAGAGTGGATGACACACTTTGGTAATTTAGTGACTCTTGACTGAGCTCCATTGCCTGAAAATCATGGCTGTTTTGAAGAGAATAGATTGAAGAGGGATAAGAAGAAGAAATCATAAATGTACCTGGTTTTTCTTTGCTTTCTTCCTCTGCTTTTTCCTTCCTCTTTTCTCCCTTTTCCCTCTCCCTTCTCGGTTCCTTCCTCCTTCCTTTTCCCCCTTCTTCCTACCTTCCCTTCTGCTTTCCTCCCCACCACTTCTGCTCTCCTCTCTTCCTTCTCCCTCCCTTTTTCTCTCATTCCCCTTCATTTTCTCTCACTCACATCTCCTTTACACTTCTCCTTCCCACATTCTAAACTGTTTCACAGTACAAACACTACAACACAATGAAAATTGTCTGTTGACAGCTCCTAGAAAATATCATCTGTCATCTTTTAACTCCATCAATGAGCAGCCTTATTTTAGTATGAATTACCGTGATGCTCATTGCTTCACTTCCCACTGGTGGGATCAAGATTAGAAAATGGGCACTAGTTTGTTTTACAAATATCTGCTATATGGCAAACGAAGTGAGAGGAAATGCTTCCAAAATACTCAAAGAAGTGCTGTTTAACCAAGTGTACAGTTGTGAACTGCAGATAATTAATTTTGGCAGATCAACCAAATAATAGCTAGCATATAGTCAGGTGCTAGTAATTCTTTTTAGCAAAGACTTCAGATCTGCCATGATTACTTTAAAAGGCAGCATTCCAACTTCTTATGGGTTTATGAAATCCCTAAGATAGTTTTGAATGGACCATTTGACTTCTCAGTTATTACCACTTTGAGACTATTCATTTTGATTTAATTCATCAAACTGATTGAGTTGAGCACTACTATTTGGTACGGTTTGGGGCTGGGAATACCAGAACAAATAGGTAAGGTTCCTGCTCTCAAGGTTAGGGTCACACAATTGTCTCAGTGTAATTAAATCTGTATAATGAGTAGTTCTTTTTTTAGTAGTTCTTTTTAAGAACATATTTATAGGCTGTTCTGACATTTACTTTTCAGGTGCTTGTCACAATCTATGCTGATTACATTGCCCCTTTATTTGACAAATTCACACCTCTACCTGAGGGAAAGCTTAAACAAGAAATTGAAATAATGGCAAAGAGTATTGATTTTCCTTTGACTAAGGTGTATGTTGTTGAAGGTAAGGCTACTGGGGGTAAGAAGATTTTATTTATTTGTTTTATTTGAGTACTTTATTCTTAAAACTTTAATAAACGAACAAATTAGTTTGTTTAAAATTTTGTTATCTAAAGGTTAGAATTTTACATTTTGACCTTTTAGGATTCATAGGAATTGATGATATAGTCCAGGAATAGAAACTGGGGACTTGGTATCAGTTCCTTTTCTTGCCTGAAACTGTGTTTGGTTGGCTTTACAGTATTGTTTTTAATTTTGGGCCAAACCCTTTATCACTTCCTTTAATAGCATGCATATTAGACTGACCTACGGACTTCTGTTACCTGCCTGGCATCTAGTAATTAAGTAGGACTCTTGTATAGTCAAATTTCTTTTAGCACTAGTTTTAGGCTCAAACAAAACCATTGTTATTGGCTTTGTCTCTTTCATCAAAACTTCCCAGGGTTCTGGAAAACTCTGATTGTGAAAACCTGCAAATTACCAAAAACTGTCCTATCATTGGGTAGAGGTAAGCTATCTAGGAGCTTACATAAGACTACTGAAGTCTCAAGGAAGCTTACAGAGATGTCAGTTAAAACTGTTGTGTGGTACCATGACTTTCAGAATCTTTAAATTAAAGTCCATGTAAATGACCGAGACTGGTTTTGCATCTGCTACTTACCAGCTGTGGAATCTTGGACAGATCACTTCACCACTCTAGCTTTCAGTTTTGCTTCCTCTAAACCTTGATTTGGCAAGCATTTTCAGTAATACCATAGATAATAAAATATTTTAGGCTTTGCAGGCCATATGTTCTTTGTTGAAGCTATTCAACTATGCCATTATAGAGCAAAACAGCATAGATTATATATAAATATGAACATGGCTGTGTTCTATAAAACTTTATATATAAAAATAAATAGCAGATTAGGTGGAGCCTGCAGGCCATAGTTTGTCCCTCCATCATTTAAACTAAAAAAAATCACCAATTAGAAGCAGTTATATTGGATGAATGAGTAGAAACTGAGAAGTATGTAATTTCAGGGCCAGGTGAGAACAGAGATGGTCGCATCTGGAAAGAATGAATTAACAGCAATTAGGAGAGTATAGACATCTCAGATATTTGATAGCTTCTGAGGTTATACAGGTCAACTAAAGGTACAGTTGGAACATTTCCATGGGGAAATGGTAAGAGAATAAGCCAATTCATATTCTTTAGCCTCTGAGAATCACTGCTCTTAATTAATATTAAACTAGTAGCACACTAAGTAGTACAGTAGGACAGTTTTTCAGGGTCTTTATTGAAGAAGCAATCTAAGTTGCTAATCACTTAAGTTATAATCAAATAACATGAAATCACAGATGATGATATGACAATAGAGGTACTTATATATGTGATATATGATTTTAGATGAAATAGACAAGGCTTTATGTAGCGTTATAAGCTGAGAGTTTGTAGAAAATCAAGATTTGAGTAGGTGGAAGGGTAAAATGAATCAATAGCCTTGGTTGAGTCCTACCTCTTATCACAGTTACCTGTGTGTCTACGGGCAATTTAACTTTGCTGAACAGATGTTTACTCATTGGGTAATGTATGGTTTTATTGTTGTTAATAATGGTAACAGCCCTCAAAAATATTTCCAATGAGTGAATATTGTTACTAACAATAACAACACATTATAGATTTGTCAATTAAGCCAAGATTCCTGCTCTGAGAAGATACCATATAGCAAGTGCTATGCAGAGAATTAACCAGTGTGATGTGATGAAGAATGACTGAGTAGATACTATAGAGTGCGTCATCAGGCAAGACCTCACTGAGCAAATGACTTGAAGCTGAGACATGAAGAGAGGAGCCATGCATGCTGAAATCAATAGAAAGACCTTTCAGAGCTTTGAATCATCAAGACACAGAAAAAAGTCCAATGTGGCTGCCACACAGCAGGAGTGTTAGGACATGAAATCTGAGACAGGCAATAGTCAGACCATTTGTAAATCTGGGGAAGGAGCTTGGGTTTTATTTTAACTTCAAGGAAAAAGCCATTGAAGGTTTTAGGCAGGAAAGTGACATGGTCTGGCTTGTATTTTTAAAATATCTGGTTTGCTATGGAGATAGATTGTAGGGGCGGCCAGAGTAGAAGCAGGGAGAGCCATTAGGAGGTGGTTCTGTAATCTAGTAGGAGAGAGTGGCAGCTTAGACTAGGGCAGAAGTGACTGATGGAGAGAAATGGATGCACTGGGGACGTGCTTTAGAGGTAGAGTTGATGGACTTTGCTAATAGATTATATGGAGAAGATTAAGGGGGAAGAGGAGACATCAAGGATAACAACCGAGATTTTTAGCCTAAGCAGTTGGATAAATGATAGTTTACTGAGATTGGAAAAACTGGGAAACAGCAGGTTTATGAGAAATTAAGTTGGATGTGCTCTATATTGAGATATCTATTGAACATTGAATTAGAATTCTGCAGGCAGTAGTTAGTGGCAAACAGGTGGTAGAAACTAACTGGCTAATGTAAGCAGGAAAAAATTGCTGTTGAAACACTATTTGGTAGCTTATCACAAGGAAATTAAGTTTACCAAGCTTGGAAGGTGGGCTGTTCCATAGGGAGATGGGGAACTCGGGATTTCACTGCAGAACCAGCGTGGGAGGACGCTGCTGCTGCCTCCTCCTGTGGGATACAGCATTGCACCCCCAGTATCCCTGCCGCTAGCACCTACAGAATTAGCTCCTCACTGCCCTGCTTCTAGTGTGAACTGTCCAGAGTCCCCAATGGGTGCATTTATTGACTGAGCCGGGGAACAGGGCTAGCTGTCAGGAATGCTGGGGAAGCAAATATCTGTCTTCTTGTATTTTTTAAATGAGAAGCAATCTCTCACAAGACTTAAATGGTTTGAATTCCCTTAACTTTGAACAGAGACTCCAGTCCTGGGCAGGGAAGAAACCACACATCCTATCTAATAAAGAAGGAATATACTAATTGACTGCCCTGCCCTTAAAGATAGTGGTGCCCACAGCCAAGGAGGAAATATGCTAATTGATTGTCACGCCCTCAAAAATGGAAGCGCCCAGTCCCCTCAGCCCTGCTGGGGCCTTGCCGCACACCTACCTCCGGAGTCCCCCACTCCCCTCAGCCCTCTGGCCACCCAGGGCCAGCCGGAGGCACAGGCAAACCACTGATGGCAGCTGCCCAGCCGCCTAGAGCCACCCGAGGCACAGGTAACCAGGGCCAGCTGAGGCTTGCACTGCCAACAGTGGCAGCAGCAGAGACGTGATGGGCACGTCTCCTTCCCCTGATTGCCAGGTCACCTCCTGCCCCTGAGGGCTCCCAGACTGTAAGAGGGGGCAGGCCGGACTGAGGGACCTTCCCCCTACCCCTCCACCCCCCGCGTGCCCAGTTCATGAATTTTCATGCACTCGGCCTCTAGTAAGAATATAAGCAACAAATATGGATTATAGACATCCATGGGGAGATGTAGAGATAGCAAATAGTCAACTGGATGTATGAGTTTGGCATTCTAGGGAGAGGTCGGGGCCAGGAATATTGATATGAAAGTATCTGGCATGTCGGTGGTGGTTAATGCCATGGATGAGGGCATTTAGAGAAGAGAGTGAGGCTTAGGTCAGAGTCAGCAGGAGAGGAAGAGCCAGCATCAGACAGGAGAGACCATTGAGATGGGAAGGAAAAGAGGAGAAAATGCTGTTTGTTTTTTTAAGTAGGAAAAGAAAATGTTTCAAGGAGGGAGTGATCAACTGCAAATGCTGTTGAGAGGTTGATTAAGATCATAAACAAAAATGTCAATGCCTTACATTTGCATAGAACATTTTGATTTTGTGAGTTCTCAAATACATTGCTTCACACCTCAAGTGGCATCATTAATCCATTTAGTAAACAAGCACTATTGAATATATACTATATGCCGAGCACAGTGATACAAAAAGCATACGGTCTAATGTAGGTCCCCCCCCCTCCCTTTTTTTTTTTTTTAATATGTCTTACTGATTTTTTACAGAGAGGAAGAGAGAGGGATAGAGAGCTAGAAACATCGATCAGCTGCCTCTTGCACACCCCCTATTGGGGATGTACCCGCAACCAGGGTACATACCCTTGACTGGAATTGAACCTGGGACCTTTCAGTCCACAGGCCGACGCTCTACCCACTGAGCCAAACCGGTTTCGGCTAATGTAGGTACTTTTAAACGTTAGTGAGTACTGTATAAGAATTCCCTGGAGAGGTTGTTAAAGATAGATTGCTGGCCTCCATTCCCAGGTGTTTCTAGTATTTACTTTCTAACAAGCGCCCTGGGTAATTTTAGTGGAGGGATTCCTTGGGCCATACTTTGAGACACTGGGATCAGTGGGAGATATTAAGATGTTAATTTTATTTTATTTTTATGCCTATAATCTGCCTGCTTCTATAAATAACTTCAGGCAACATCTAAGAAATATTTTTAAATTAATTAAAAACAACAGAAGACAGAAATGAAAAGTGTAAGACCTCAGAATGATACACGGCTTTCCAGATCCTAAGGTCTCAAGGACTGGCAAAATTGGATCACATATTTGGCAATTAAACAAAAACTGAAAAATAATTAAGTAAATGCCACTATTTATCCAATGCCTACTATATTCTAAACATACTGCCAAACGTACTGCTATGTATAAAGAACATATATTCTAAATATACTACTGTATTCTAAATATACTACTAGGTATGCTTTACATTAGGAATATGAGTAGATAAAAACTCACATTTCTATCTGTCTGGAGTGGCTCAGTGGTTGAACGTCATCCCATGAACCAGGAGGTCACCAGTTTGATTCCCGGTCAGGGCACATGCCCCGGGGTCAGGCTCAGTTCCAGCAAGGGGTGTGTAAGAGGCAGCCGATCAGTGATTCTCTCGCATCAGTGATGTTCCTATCTCTCCCTCTCCCTTCCTCTCTGAAATCAATTTTTTAAAATATTTTTTTAATTCACATTTCTGTGAGAGATCTCAAATTCTCAAGAGAAACAAATATTTTATA